TTTCTAATTTTATATATTAGCTATTTAATTATAGTATTAATAAAGTATAAAATTGTTTTATAGTATATACAATATTCGATGAATATTCAATGAATATTCGAATATTTATTCAAAATTTTTCAATAAATATTTGATTATTAAATGTATTGAACAAATGAATATTCGAATACAAATTTTTTGACTGTATAAGACCTCTACATGTATGAATATGTGTTCAGGAATAATTAGACCAATTTCTAAAAAATTTTATTAGAAAGAAAATGATAAGTAGAAAAAGAATTATCCAGACTTTTTGAGCTTAAAATTTGTTTAAGCTGAGGGAATCTCTTGAAGAGATCAGCAAATATTTTTAATATTCATTAGAGGTATCTAATATTTCATTATCTTAAGCAAAAACCCAGTGTTTTTATAATGTTTTAGCATCTATTATATTTAGGTCATGAGAATTTATCATCTAATCTATATTACTAGTTATTTATAATGATTAACAAAAGCTTTTACTAAATAAAATACTTTGGATTAACCCTTCTAAAAAGAAAACTAAAAAAAGCAAGGTAATGATAATTATTTGCCTAAGCATATGTCTAGCTAAATCTTTCAATTAAAACAAATTTGATAAATAAAACAGTTAGAGTTGCAGATCAATTGTGATACTTGATTTACTATGTTGTTGTTAATTGGTGAATCAAAGTTTAATTATCTTCTTTAAATGATTGACACTCTTGCTTGCCTAGTTTAGATATATGAGACAATATTCTTAGATTTGGTTATTGATAATCAATGCTAGTACGAACAAAACAAAGGCACTATAATAATTACAACAAGATCAGGCAATTATATACTCTTAACCTTTTAAGTAATAATCATCACTGATGCTTTACATGATCTTCCTGATTAAACTAAACTTAAAGTCTTGTTTTTTTTGTCTGCTAATAAGCATTAGATAGTGTTACTATATAAATTACAGTTTAATGCTTAATACTTGTTTTTTAGACTTAACTAAATAGGGTTTATCATCAATATCTCATTTTAGATTTTGGCTAAGCAAATGTTGTCCTACTAATATTTGGTCACAAACAATAAGCTTTATCTTGGGAATATTAATCTTACCTTTTATATAAACAATGACTTTAAAGTAACTCAAGTAATAAATAATTACTAATAAAAACTAATTCTATTGGTTCTTTTGATTACTATTTTATAGTCAAACTTTATAACCTAATCCACATTGAATCATGTTAATTCATATTCTCTAATTAGAGAAAATAAAACAGGTTAGCTAAAAGCTTGTGATTATGAGTCATGCCAAGAAAAAAAATAAACTTGTAACCTGTGTGTTTGCCAAAAATAAATCAATTATTTTACTAGTTTAACTGAAAATGGATATTTGAATAAGAATATAAATGGGTAAAGGCTTTTAGTTAATAGATAAAAAGCTGCAGTATGTTTAAGATCTACTGTGAGTAATTTATTGTTTTATTATTTAGTTAGGTGCAGTTCAACAAAAGAATGAATCTAATTAAATGATTATTTGCTAGAATCACAAGATAACCTTTTATTAACTAGTGTTTAGCAGCTATGATATACATGATAGTTTTTTGCTTTTTGTCATGCACAAATACATATGTCAATCAAAATACTATAAACAAAATTTGCTGTATTCAATTAAAAACCTTTAAATTTACTATATTTTAGCTCAATAAAAATTTATTTTTAATATTTTTGTAAGGTACTACATTGATGTCTGATAAACTTTGTTAAAATAAAACCTATTTATGTAAAAACTACACTTTAAACTATTTACAGTCTAAGTTTAGCTATAGACATTGTTATATATAGTTAGTAATCATTAATCTTATTGTATGCATAAAGGCTTTACTTAAAAATGACTTATACAACCTTAAGGTGATAGGGTTTATTCAAATTACTCTAAATAGTTAATCTATTTTTAAGATTAATATAAAACATCAGTATAATATCTAATCAGGTGGTTAATGTATTAAAAGTACTTACTTATTGTGGTGGTTTTAAAATCCAGACAAGGATAATAATCACAGGGTTATGATTAGTAGCTGTTGTAACCCCTGAACTAGTTTATTAATTATTTCTAGAATGCTTACCACGATAATCAGTACAAATAAAATAAATGCCAGGGTGATCATATTTGCAAGTACAAGTGTTAGAGCAATGTATTTATAGAGTTAAGGTACTATGTTTATAATAATATCCATGGGGCATAGCAGGCATTATTACTGGTTAGATTAGTTAAAGTTTTATCTTTAAATTGATCAAAACAAAAAAACAATATTGTGCTTAAATAACTTTAGTTCAGAGTTTTACAGTTATTATTAATAACTTACTTCATAAAGCATAGATATTGTATTACCACCAACTAACTCAGGGCACTGATTAGTTAAATGACCTTTAACAGTTTAATATAATAAACTACAAAGTTATTATTGTTGTAATACTAGTACAGTCTTTTGTAGACATATATTAAACAAAAAGCAGCTCCTTTGTAATATACTCATAGCAGATACGCACCATTAAGATAAGATAGCTTATTAGCAAAACAGTAAAGCACTAGTTGTTTAACTAAACCTAATATAGCAATTTAAATAAGAGTTGGTGGCTAAATGCCAAGCCTTAAGTAATTCATTCTCAGATCTGCTAAACTTAAACCTTTATTATAAGGTTGTTCTTAGTGGCAACAAAGCATTATTCTGGCATACAGGGATCTTCATAAAAGGTATAATATATTCAAATGTTTGATATATCTAAACTAGGCAGGGATGATATTATTATTGCTTAGCAGATTATATTAAATATAGTTTATCTTTACATATCAGTATCAGGAGTAGTACTTTTACAGTAGCTTAATCTGAGTACAATGATTACTGCATAGAAGTAAGTCTTTATTCAATTAGTTGTTAGTAGATTGCATTGTACTTGGTTAAGGTTATATCAATTAACAGGTAATTTTTTTGATAGTTTGTGAAGTATATACTCACTAAATTAGCATTTTAATCATGGGTTTAGACACATCAATGTGTAGGTTAAGAACTTTTATAAAAGAGACTAGTTTTTGATTCAAAAGCTTGTGTGTTTTTTTTTTTCTCAGTAAATTAATTAAAATGTCTTTTTTTATATTTGATTTAACTGATGGTTTAGAACAATCAAATTTCAATATTTCAAAAATTAAAACAAAACTTTATCTCAAAGGTTTTTCTGTATCTAAGACTTTGTATGAAAAATTAAACAATTTAAATAATTTAAATAATACTTCTGAGATTATTAATTCTAGTTTTACATATTACGAATCTGTTGTAAAAAATAACTAAAACGGATAACACGAGTCATACTGGCATATTTTTTTGTTTTTAAGTTAATGTTGCAACACTTTTTAAAAGATGAAAACTTTAAGTTAAGCAGTAGTATTTTATCATATATTACTAGTATTATTTGGGAATATATAGCACCAACAATTAAGAATAGACATGAAATCATTTTGGAAGAAATAAAAACAAAATCAAAGAAGTTTCAAACAAGAGTTAAAAAATCAAGAGCTTCAAAAAAAAAGTCTTATGGAACAACACTTTTAACTCCTACTGCCACATCTCCTACTGTCATTTCTAATACTACTAATGAAATTGTTAAAAAAGCTTCTGAGGTTTCTGTCTCCAGCTCTAATTCTGAAAATATGGAAAAATCTAATACTGTATTTGCTTCTACTTCTAGCAGTGGATGTTCTGAGCATGGTGATATTTATAATTTGATTTGTAACAAATGCAACTATAAAAGTAATGATTATGATAATGTTGGATGGTTTCAATAAGGCAGTATTTTTATGTTTTTTTTATAACATTTGATTATTTACCATGCAGTGTAGTATTATGTATTTTATATTATACCTTTTATGCTTTTATATATTTTAAACTATGTTTTTTTTTAATTATGTAATATGCCTTTTTATGATTAATTATGCTTTTTATGTAACTAAGATATTTATGCACTAAGTCTAATTATGCTTTTTTAAGTATTAACATTTACACATGTGTTTATATAATATATAAATTAAGCAATTATACAAATTAGGCAATTAAGTTATTTATGATTATGCCTTATGCATTGTACATGGTAATTATTACATTTATGCTTTATCTATATTAATATATACACACATTAAGCTGTTATACACACATATATAAATAATAAAATTAAGCTTTAAACTATGCAGTTAATCTCTTGTGTACCCCTAAGATTTTAATATATGTTTATATACAATATTAAATAATATCTTAAAGGGTTTAACAAACAAATAAAAGATGCTAATACAAATTAATATCTAAAAAAGCAACTCTTAATTAATGCTTAGTCAATCAAATACCCACATTTTGTTTTATCTTTTAGAGTTAAGGACTATATCAAGGACTTGTATACTGTCTTTTAAAGTAAAGTCATAGTGTTACCTAAGACCACATGCTACCTTTAGGGTTAAGTCACGTATAGCTGATAGTGTCTGGCTTTTGGTAAATAGAATTATGTGATCAAATACAAACTATCCTTATTTCTAAACCAAATACTAAAGGTGCATTGCAGTGTAGAAATGAAAGAAAAGAACAAACAGAATAGTCTTTTCATTGTTGTGTTTTAAAAAGCTATAATAATATTTATTTATTTATTTTTTTTTTTGGTATTAAGGTGACCTCTTTGGCCTGGGGAACTTTTTATTAGAGTATAGACGAAGTTTATATATAATTACAACGATGATACATCAAGCCACACGTGCACCTTTTGAGTGCCTATTTAAGTAGTCTGCCCGAAGGTTCTACACTATCTGCCGTACCTGTACCCCAACTAGGGGGGTGCCCATTTAAACCATCTGGTTCTAACT